CTTTATATACTGAAAATACTGAGGATAAGACAGTTATTTCAACCGGCTATAATACCGCAAATTTTAATATGGAAGATCTATAAAGGCGAAGCCAAGGAAATATTAACAATGACTGAAAACGACTAAGACAATAATTTTAAAATTATTTTGCAAACGGTGGCAAAGTCCGGTGACAAGATAAGTATATTTGTAACTTAACCTAATTATAAGATGTATCATTTAACTAAATAAATAAAGTAGTGTATTTAAAGTACATTCGTTCAGCAAATTCCCAACTGTAAACAAACGCACGTGTTCATATTGACCCTCTCATTCGTCAAGAGGCTATTAAATATAATTTATTGCCTTAAGCCAGACGGATTCTCATTCTACAGGTACAAACTTGTCAGTCTCATTCAAAAATTCAAATTATTGTAGTGTGTTGGTTTTTAAGTTAATATATTGTGTGTTATATGTCAAAGTTATTATTAAATTATAACACTGGTCGTGTTATTTTTTAGAGTTTAGTTTAAGTGTTTAGTATTAAGTTTTATAGTGCGTATTCAACTTTTAGTTTCCAAAAACAGTATTTATTAATCAAAAGTAAAAATAGTTTGCGGTAATCACTTTAATAAAGCTAAGAGAAATTAATATCTTAATTTATTGGTGTTTATAAAAAATATAGAATAGAAAAAGTTTTATTTCCCTTTTAGTCCATTCATTCACGGTTTTTGTCGTAAATATTACAGAACCGCTTGGATTGACATGAAATTTGGCATATACATAGTTAACTGCAAAGAAAAAAGTGATATTCTGCCGATTGTGTTGTTGCCAGGGGGTGAGTTTCACCGCTTCTCGGGTGTGAAAAAACATGCATATATAAATCCAGAATTGAATAAACTGACTAATTTTAAGCAACTTTTATTTTATTTAGTTTTTGCACAAAGTTAATACTTATCGAGTTATTTGCGAGTGAATATGATCATTTTTTAATAAAAAAAAACACGTTTTTATATATAAAATATATACGGAATGCAGTTTCATAACTTTACACCGATATTTTCGATGATGCTGGTTTTATTACAATACGTATTATTTTTGCATAATCTATTTTGACATTCTCTCAATCAACTAAGTACATTAAGTTATTGAAGATAAATAGAATAACAAAAAGCCGATGAACTCCTTGATATTGATTTAACCCTCAATCCACCTAAATAAGACCAGAAAAGGTGATTGACGTTAAAACGAAGGAAATGCTTATAAATGTATTTAAAACCAAAATTCAGGAGAACCCTACAATGCCAAAAAGTGCGATTTCTATTAGAGTAGCAGATAAAACATGTACTGATATTATTTATTTTAGAGTGCGCATTTTCACTTTATTTAACAAATATTGTTACATTTTATCTATTGTAGGTGTGTAGCCGTAGTGTACGCAATGTGGTTCATGAATATGAAATTACGGGATCATTGTCGACACCAAAATCAGTTGAGCAAAAAGTATTGTTAACTCGCTTGATGAATTTGACAGAGAAGAAATACGAAGAATAATCCATCAATTCTTTTTTCGAAACGAAATACCCACAATGGACAAAGTTCTGAGGGTTGTTAATGTAGATCCGGTTTTGAAAACTTCAAGACGTTTTATAAATTATTGAAAGAAATCAATTTTAAGTTTCAACGTCGTCAGCGAAACAGCATTTTGATGAACAGGGACGATATGGTCTTGTGGAGACTAGAATTTGATAAAAATTGAGTTCTACAAAAATAAAAACCGCAAAATTTACTACTTAAACAGGACTTGACTGAACGCTGGTCACACCAAATCTAAAGGTCGAAAATTCAGTAACGATAAACAAGCGTTTTAAGATGGACTTTCTATGGGGTTAAAAATCGTGCAGGTAAATGTTCATGTGCTTTTTCACTTCAAGTAAATTTTAAAATACCAAAATTTTCAAGTAAAGGAAAAAGCCTAATAATCTGTCACATTGGCAGGGAAGATGGGTTTGTTCCAAAAGGACTGCGGGTGTTTGAATGAAAAAAAAAGTGGGGACTAACATGAAGAGATGGATTAGAAGAAAACTCCATCATCGTATTGGACAACACGTCTTACTCCAGCAATTTGAAAAAAAAATGCCAACTATTGCTTCTAGAAAAGTTGACATCCAAGCGTCAAAAAGCGTCAAAAGTTGACATCCCTCCAGATACTGACAGAGAATGTAGCGTAGTAGTAATTTTAAACTGTTTGTCCTCGTTTTAGTGTAGTGTTTTGTACAATTTATGTTATTTTTAATGTTTCCACATTCTACGCTTGCCGGATAGTTCTTATTTTGACGAAATGCCCCTGAAGATGCTATTTTAAGCGAAAGTACTTGGGCTAGATTTAATTAACTTGTGCTCAATAATAGCCATATTTTCAAAGTTTAAGTATAAATAATTATATTATAAAAATCCCATATTTCAGCGGGCTGCTCGATTCTGAACTCATAAAAATTGAAAGCTACACATAAATCTACGATTTTTTTATGCTGTCAAACCAGTTATAGTCCAGGAAATGACGCATTTCACCTTGCAATTTTTTCGTGCTGCGTGGATTGACTTGAAATTTAACAGAAGGTAGGTAATAGCCTAAGGATCAAAATCTATATCGAACCAAAGTGCGCCAAAGCCTAGGGCGTGGTTGCCACCCCATCTCCGGGGTGAAATTTTTTTTTACATTTTAACTACAGGTTTCGATTAAAAAAGTGATTCTAAACAAAAAATGTGCTATACATTTTGTTTATAAAATGATATTTTTCAAGTTATTCGCAATTGAAAGTAACAACTTTTAGACGAAAAAATCGACGTTTTTAATCGATTTTTCGCGAATAACTCGAAAATGGTGCATTTTATCAAAAAAATTGTAGAGAAAAAATTTGTAGCTTTTAAAAAGACAAATACAATTCAATTTTTAAAATGTTTTTGGGATATAATAGGAACCGAAATACGGCCTATCAATGTTCAGCGGCTTTCTTCAAATGCCAAATTTGAAAGAGTCAACGTCAAATATCGGGAAAATGATGCATTTTTGGAAGAATACTCACAAAACCTTTTTTAAAGAGAATAAATAGACCTATCATAAAAAAGACTCTAGCTCAAAAATTGAGTGAGTTATGATGAAAATAAGGTCAATACCTCATTTTTTACGAAAAAATCTAGGAAAACAATCCCCTGACCACCCCCATAATTAAAATCGAGCATCACCCTTCTGCAATTCCCTTTGTACATGTATTGTTAATACGTCCAAGAAGTTTGACCCATTTAAAATGTTTAGTTTTAGAAAAAGTACAGCTTAAAGCGAGAAACGATTTAAAATTTCATATTTTTTACCCTTCTTTTTTTAAATATGCCCGAAAATACTGAATATATGAAAAAATAAAAATTACCAGATTGTAGCTTTTTTAATGAGTAAAATTATCCTTTACTTAGATTTGTCGTACAATGAATATTCAGCGAGATATAGCCGTTTAAAGCATCGATTTACGATCAAGCACCATCTTTTTCGAGCCCTTTAAACTCACCCCATTTAAAAACCAAGGGTTCCAAAAAGATTTAATTCACAGATCCTTGTAGCTATTAAAAACCTCTACAAATCGTATTTGAAGAAACACTCGATCGTTAAAAATTAAAGGAAATACGTTAAAAAAACCAGTTAATTTTTTTCCGGAAAATTCCATTAGTATAGTACAGTACATCTCGGAGCATAATAATCTACAAAACCGGTATATTAGCTAGTGGGGCGTTATACATTCGAAATTTTAAGCGTTCTTATTTTGAAATCCCATACAACAGAATAAAATATCTGCTTATATGTCTATGGCTTGGCAATGAAAATATCAGACCAACAGATTGGGGATAATATTCCAAAGATGGTTTGTTATTACCCGTACGCATGAACAAACAACCTGCACCCGATGAACTTTTAAAAATTATTTTTTGCCAATGCAAAAAAGGATGCGGCGTTTCATGTGGGTGCAGAAAAGTTGGTTTATACTGTAACTCTACTTGTTCTGGGTGCTCAGGTGAAGGGTGCAATAACAGTCCACCAATAATTGAAGAAGATGAGGATGACCTACATCACGATGAAGATGTAAATGATGACGAATAATTAAGAGATTGAGATAATTATAATTGTTTTACCTATAAATGTAAATATTTTCAACTATTTATGTAAATTAATTAATTCAAACCAAATTTTACCCATATTCAGGTTTAATATGTTATTTTATAATTTTTGACAATTAGGGGTAGTTTTCACCCCTAAGAACAATCAGGGTTCGTCGACATGACATAAACTATAAAGCAGCGGGTGAATTGAGCTTAAATCCAAATTTTTATCCAAATCGATCAAAGGCGAAATCATTTTTTTAGAATTGGTAATTTTTTACATTAATCTCTAACAAGGTTTGCTTTTTAAGGGTTGAAATATGATGGAACTCTATTCAAAAGTATAAAATAATCAATATTTAACTAATTCAAACCAAATCTTACCCATATTCAGGTTTAATATGTTATTTTATAATTTTTGACAATTAGGGGTAGTTTTCACCCCTAAAACCCTTCAGCGCAGTTCGGTTCGATATAGATTTTGATCCTTGGGCTATCACCTACCTTCTGTTAAAATTTCAACTGGATACATGCAGGACGAAAAAATTGCGAGGTTTTAACTTTTTTCGAGCTTCATTTCCTGAACTATTATCGCTTCCTTAGACAAACTTGTCTTACGCAAACAACTTTGTTGCTAGACAGATAGTTGAACGATATTTTATACAATGTCTATACCCAGGTATGGATTTATTTTTGTCCAAGTTTTATATTGGTCCACTATTTCAAATGCAGTTCAAACAGACATGTATTAAATTGTATGTTCCGTTTTAATTTGGTTCAATCTGTATATTCACAAATAATTCAATGGTAAATTATTGATTATGATTATGATTATGATTAATTTTCAAATAGACTCTATAAAAATAACTAAATATTTTATTTTTAAATAATTATATTAAGTATTTATAAGATTTCCTAATATGGTTATCCAATGTTTTAACTTATATCTACTTTATTGTAGGTAATACTCAGTATATGGACTAAGCTGAAATATTTCCTTCCATAATTTTAACCTTTCCGGCTCGGGATTGCTCTTCATCGTTAGTTCTTCTCCAATATCTAAGTAATTTACTTCTTCTTGGTTAAGTGGATTCCAGGTTATATTTAAATCGTTTCCTTGAGGAGTTGGGTTGCCGAATTTGGCAAAATTAGTCCATAATTTAACAAATCTTCTAATTGCTTTAAGTTCCGTTTCTCCTCTGTATATGTTTGGGATCGTAAGCGGTATTTGGAACAAATATCCTAGATCATCAGCGTGGCAAGCACCTAAAAATAAGACGGTAATATAACTTATTTTTTAATAATCAGTAAGATATAAAAATTGGGCGAAATAATATTAATTACCAATATTCAACCCGCGTTGGTTAATTAGTATGGAGTAAACATATTATTAAACATTTCCAAATGTGGGAAGATATAAGTAAAAGCTGACAAGCCTCTGACAACTAAAAGATACCCTACTATTATAGCGGTCAAGACAGAGTATGGTTATATTGGAAATATTATCAATAAAACACCAACTTTTTTACCCGATCACAAAAAAAAGTAGTTGAAAAAGAATGGGAAATATCAAAAAGGAAGTCGTTGTTAACGAGGTAAGAAGAAGAGCAGAAAAACTTTTGCTCGTTGATGCATCTCAAATAGTCTCGCCTACTCAAATGTCAACCTCCAATTTACGTTGTGTTAGTAAACCCATCACAAATGAGGCTCAGACAACCAGTATTAGCGGAATAACTGTAAAAACTGGAACTAACGAAATGTAATTCCATTAAGATTGAGTGGTACCGACCTGTCTTTACAAAGTTAAGATAAGGAAGAGTAGAAGACACATTACTAAACCTTGTGGTACTCCATATACAATGCTTTTGTGATTAGAGTCAGTATTATTTGCTCTAACTAGTGATTTTCTATTCCTCAAGTAAGATTGGAACCAATTGAAAGAAATACTTCAAATTCCGTAGAAATTTAGTTTTTTGTGTATCAAAATGTCGTGATTTATACAATTAAAAGCTTTGGCATCGTTACAAAAAACAGTGGCAGTGTAAAGATTATTGTTTAGTGTTTGATAGACCTCATGTAGTACAGAAAACATAGCATCAGTTGTAAATTTATTAGATAAAAAGCCAAACTTGAAGATGTTGTTTTCAACGAGAAATGACATAAGTCAGTATTTCATAAGTCTCTCAATAATTTTGGATACGAGCGGTAGTAAGGCAATATGTCTGTAGTTTGCAGACATTCGATTTTTCACCACTCTTCATCATCATCTTGGTGCTACAGCCCTTAGAGGGCCTCGACCTTCTCAAGCTTTCTACGCCATTCTGTTCTGTCCCTTGCTTGAATTTTCCAGTTGCCGACTCCGATCTTCTCCGCATCTTGTGTTACCCCATCCATCCACCTCAGCTTTGGTCTACCCCGTCGTCTCATTCCCACAGGTTGCGCTGTTAGAATCTTTTTTATCATGTTCGATTCAGGGGCCCGGGCTACATGTCCTGCCCACTGCAGGCGGTTTCGCTTAATTATAGTGGTAATATCTTTACCACCAAACGTATGCTTGTAGATATTCTGCAGTTCGAAGTTATATCTACGCCTCCATATTCCGTTCTCACAGACCGCTCCAAATATCTTGCGTAGCACCTTTCTTTCAAAAATGGATAGAGCGGATTCATCTGTTTTCGTTAGCGTCCATGCCTCTGATCCGTATGTGAGAACGGGGACTAACAGTGTTCTATACAGCCTTATACGAGTTTTTTGAGACAGACGTTTGTTAGCTAAGTACTTTGATAGACCATAATAACACCTGTTTGCAAATATTATTCGCCTTTTTATTTCCTCAGATGTATTGTTATTGGGGTTAACCGATGTCCCTAGATATATGAACTCATTGACTGCTTCGAAGTTTTGGTCATTGATGATTAAATTTGTGTCAACATTTCCAGCTCTTGTGTTTGTGTTAGTCGCCATGAATTTGGTTTTATTTTGATTTATATGTAACCCCACTCGTTCTGCTGCTGCTACTAGCTCGGTTAGGATTTCCGCAGTTCTTGCCCTAGTTCTTGTTATAATGTCCACGTCGTCTGCATATGCTAGAATTTGGACTGATCTATTAAATATTGTTCCCCTGCTATCTAAATTAGCGTCTCGTGCAACTTTTTTTAAGGCGACATTAAAAAGCTGACACGCCAGCGCATCTCCCTGCCTTAACCCCCTATGTATTTGAAATGGAGTTGACGAGTCGTTTTGAATTTTTATTGCTGATAGCATCTTCGCCATTGTCACTTTTATCAAACATATTAGTTTTTTTGGAATTCCTAACTCATTCACAGCGTTGTAAAGACTTGGTCTTAAGACACTGTCATATGCCGCTTTAAAATCGACAAAAATATGATACATATCTATGTTAAACTCTTGCGCTTTTTCGAGGATCTGTCGTAGTGTAAAGATCTGGTTAATGGTTGAACGTCCAGGCCTGAATCCTGCCTGATATTCCCCTAGAAACATTTCAGTATAAGGCTTTAATCTCTCGTGCAAAATATTTGATAATATCTTGTATGTTGTATTTAGGAGAGTTATTCCGCGGTAATTATTGCATTCCAGTTGGTTTCCCTTTTTGTGTAACGGGCAAATTAAGCCTAAGCTCCATTCTTCTGGCATTTGCTCCTCAGACCAAATTCTACAAACAATTTCTCGCATCACCTTGGTGAGCTGCTCCCCACCGTGCTTAAATAACTCTGCTGGGATGCCATCGCTACCTGGGGACCTATGGTTCCTTAGTTTTTCTAAAGATATTTTTACTTCATCTACCGAGGGGGGTTCCACGAGTTCCTCATTTCGGTATTCCAGCTCTATATTGTTAGTAGGTTCCCCTTCCAGCAACTCTCGAAAGTGCTCTACCCATCGTAAAAGGATGTCCTCTTTGTTGGTAAGTAAGTTGCCTTCCTTATCATTACAATAGTTGATTCTTGGTTTAAATTATTTTCTAATACTATTTATTTGATGGTAGAACTTTCTTGTTTCTCCGTGACTCATATGGCTTTCGAGCCGTTCTAACATGTCATTTTCCGAGTCTCGTTTCTTTTTTTGGTGTATGCGTTTTTCCTCTCTCCTTAAGTTTTTGTATCTATCTATTGTTGTTCTAGTTTTTTGTTGTTGCATGGTCCTAAATGCCTCGTTCTTCTCATCTGTTATTTTTTTGCAGTCTTGGTCGAACCAGTCGTTTCTTTCTTGGGTTCGGGATATTCCCAATGTGCTTTCGGCTGCTAATTTCAGAGCCTCCTTGCAGTTGTTCCACATTTCCGTGCTTGACTGGTCGACTGCCCAGGTGTATTCTAGGGTTTCTTTTATGACGTTTTTCGTATGTGACTGGAACTGTTTCTCCTTGTTTTCATTTTTTAGCATATGTAAATTATATTTTACTTGTCTAGTGCCCCTTTCTTTCTTGGCATTGGAAATTCTTTGTCGTAACTTGGCCCCTACCATAAAATGATCTGAGTCAATATTTGCTCCTCTGTAACTTCTTACGTCCATTAGGTTTGTAAAGTGCCTTCTGTCAATTATAACATGGTCGATTTGATTTGTGGTGTGTCCATTTGGTGATATCCAAGTGGCTTTATGGATATTCTTGTGATTAAAACATGTACTTCCCACAATTAAATCTTTGGAAGCTGCCAGACTAATAAGCCTTAAACCATTGTCATTAGTAACGTCGTGAAGGCTATGTTTACCAATATAATCTTGGTAGCATATCTCTTTTCCTGTCTGGGCGTTCATGTCTCCAATGATTATTTTAATATCGTTTTTGGCACAGTTATCATATGCTCTTTCGAGATCTTCGTAAAATAGATCTTTAATTTCTTCGTCTTTTTCCTCGGTTGGCGCGTGCACGTTGATCAGGCATATGTTGAAAAATTTTCCTTTTATTCGAAGGATGCATAACCGATCATTTATGGCTTTAAAACCAATAATAAAATTTTTGATTCTCTTTGATACTAGGAACGCGGTTCCGAACTCATGTCGGTTCGGGTTGCAGCTGTAATATATATCATGTTCTGTTTTCTGCAAAATGCCGGTTCCTGTCCATCTCATCTCTTGAATGGCTGCAATGTCTATTCTATATTTTAGGAGTTGATCTTGCAGCAGCTTTAGTCCCGCTGTCCTATATAGCGTTCTTACATTCCAAGTACTGATCTTTAAATCATTGTCCTTAGTTCGGTGCGTGGGTCGTCGTCTTGAATTCAGTCCGGCTTTTCTATCTCGAGATTTCGTAACAATAGGTTTTTATGGGATGAGGGAGTTAGCCTCATGCCCAACCCCCTTTTCGGAGGACCATTTCTCCCTTCCTCGTCAGCCCTGACCCTACCTTCCACTGGGGTTGGTTACCCAGTCTTCAGTAGGGTTGCTCAGGTTTACCGGGGTTCACCCGTGTGATCCGGATCACACTTCTCGGAGGTGAGGATAGGAATTGAGTAGGAGAGGCTAGAGGTGTTATCTGGAAGCAACACCTTATGATGCGCATCACTACTCCATTAAAACCCCACCACTCATCCTCCACATAAAAAATCACCACTCTTATGAAAAGGAATAATAAAAGCATCCTTTAGGCACATTGAAAATATACCTGTTTCAAAGAAATAGTTAATTAGTAAGACCAAGATTTCCAACACATTTTTTGGGAGATTTAAGAAAATTTTTATGGGTACTAGATACAATGCTACAAGAAGATTTGCTTTTGAAACAAGTGATTATTTGGATTATTTCAGATTTATTAACTGATCTTATAAAGAATGAATTTGTAACATTTTTTTAATTAGGGAGGATCTTGTTGTGGCAAAATAGTTGATGTTATATTTTTACTTACACTGACAAAGTATTCATTTGGATTTTCTGGGTTTGGAAGAGAAAATGTTTGAGCTGTGTTAGTTTTATTTCAAAGATCGTTTATTTTGGACCAAGTTTCTTTCGCAACATTTTTAAAGCTTCCCAGACGATTTTGATAGTACATTTTTTTGATAAATTTTCGATAGGTATAGTTTTAGATAGGTATATTTAGATATTTTTATATAGATATTTTAGATAGATACATTCTTCGATCCCGCCAACCCGTCTGGCGAGCGTGGTGAGATACGCCGGAAACCTCTAGAAAACAAAAATGTCGATTTTAACAGAGACACAGAAGATGCCCCAGGTAGGTCTCTTTTATTTTTTCAAAATAAATTCTGGTAAATCAAGTCGTTTATTAAGAAATGTAGTTTATTTTAACAATGATTATTAAACAATTTTAAGTTTTTATGCAAGAAAATTGCGTAAAAATAAATGCTTAATATTGGGCAAATAAAGTTATTTTATTTTAAATTAAAATGCTAATTTAAATTGCCCAAACAAGTATTTTTAACTAAAAGAAGTGCAACAAGTATTCTCCCCACTAGCTCTTATTACTGCTTGCATCCTTCTCGGTATGCTTGTAAGTAAATTTTAGACATATCCGTGGGAAATTGCATTCCATTTATCCTGTGGAGGAAGCCAAAGCTGCTCTATCGTATTTGGAATGAGATTTCTTTATCGGTGGCCAATCCAATCTTCGAATTTGAACCTCATTTAGATAATTACTCATTATGGCAGCGGCATGTGGTCGAGCATTATCGTGCATTAGCTTTTATAGCTCTAACCATATTAACTATTTTAGCAACTTAACTTATTTTTCTATATTAATAAAATATATCAAACTTAAACTTGATTAAAAATATGTCTTGTCTACTAATTTTTTTCTACACTGTGAATTCAGAACCTTACCCGAGACCCCCATTAGCAAATTGCATACACCACGATATATTTTTAGAACATGTTTTCCAACTGTTTTGAGTTCTTTTATTTATTATAATATGTACCATAATAGATGGACAAACCAGTTATTAATGTATTTTTTTGTTACCTGGTATATTAGAGAAACCGTTGGAACGTTTCAGGAAATTTAGTCCAGCATCCAGACTCATACTATATAAATAAACAGGTTCGGTTTGAATTTTCGCATGAAGTTTAGCAGTTCCAACTATTGGGGCTGTATAGGTACCATCGGTGGCCACCTGAAAAAAGTAAATTAAGAGTTTTAAGGAATAAATAAAAACCATTGTAGGTATAGTTTTTCTTCAGTTACTAGTCTTGCTCATTAGAAGGATAAATTAAAAGAGAAAAATCCCAATGTTTGGCTATATACCATAGTTCAAACAAACTTACAGTGAAACGATGTTAAAAGGTATTTGTAAAAACCAACAGATATTTCAAGATTATTTTTATAAAAAATTGAAATTTTTCAAACAGATTAGAATTTCAGAACGTTTTTGGTCTTATCAGAGCATCATTAGTGAACACATAGATAGCAATTCAAACTAGACACTTGAGAAGGTGTAATAACCTTTAGATAACAATTACATTTAAAGCGACATGAGGTCGATGTTAAAAGATTTCACTTTAAGAGAAAACATGCTGAATCTTATTCGAAACGAGGACCACATCTATATCCTAAAGAAGATACCAGCCGGAGCTGATATTGGTTTAGTCGCACATCCAATAACGGTCACTGTCGGAAATGCTTGGTTAGAAAAATGGAAAAATATTTTCCTTTATACGGGGTGTTTCAAAAAGGTATGTCATAAATTAAATTACGCATTCCGGGACAAAAATAAATTGATTGAATTCAACTTACCTTAGTACAAAAGTGTACACAAAAAAAGTTACAGTCCTTTTAAGTTACAAAATAAAAATTATTTTTTTTGCATTATCTCCTAAACTGCTTGACATTTTGTAATAAAAATGTACATGTTACTTTCTTGTTCTGAAAGCATTTTTCATAAAAAAGAAATAACAAAATCTAAGCGCGCAGAAACATTTTTAGGGGGTGTGTAGTCCTAAATCCTCCCAAACTTTTGAATACGTTCAAATCAAATAAATTTTGTGGCGTCATAAGTTTAACACATTATTTTTAAAACTTTTTTGCCTCCTACCACTTTTTTTAAAAACTAGTTTTTTCCTAGTTTGCCATAAAATTACAATTAGTTTCTACGGATACAATAATTACAAACAGTTCCATCAATACTAGTCAATAATTTGAAGCTACCATTTATTTTGTGAATAAGATTAATATTAAAAATTTTGATATTACAATGGCCTACACATTTCAGAAAATGACAGATATGGATTTAATTTTGGTTAAGTTGAATCAGATTAAATTATGATTTCAATAAACTATCGGGAATATCGTAGGTGATTGTCAAGGAAATAGTGCAGCAGCCTCAAGGCGTTATGCAGTAAAATACCCCAATCGAAATACACCCGATAGACGATTATTTCTGACCATTGATCGTCTTTTACGGGAAACGAATACATTCCAACCGCAAGTTGCTCACAATAGTGATGGTCCAATAATGGATGCAACTGATGAATACATTTTAGAAATCATTGAAGAAGTCTCTAGAACTAGTAAAAGGACAATAGCTGCTCAACTAAATGTCCCTCACGTAAGGGTTTGGACGCGTTTGAAGGATCAGCTGCTTAAACCTTATCACTTAACAACGGTTTAATAGTTATTCGTTGAAGATTATCCTAAAAGGATTGGATTTTACCATTGGCTATTAATGCAAACCATTCAAATGTTAATTTTATTAGAAATATTTTGTTAAACGACCCGATGAGGCTACCTTCAGTAGAAATGAAATAACAAACCATCATAACGAGCACATTTGGGCCGACGGCAATCCTCACGCCAAAAAAACGACTCATCACCAAAGGACTTTAAAAGTTAATGTTTGGGCAGGAATTGTGGATAACAATATCATAGGCCCAGTATTTCTTTTCAACAATTTAAATGGTAATAATTAGTTGCAGTTCTTAGCAGACGATTTACAAGACTATTTGGAAGAGGTGAATATTGCAATAAGGCAAAATATGTGGTTTCTACAAGATGTCGCTCCGCCATATTACAGTAATGAAATCCGGGAATACCTTTGCAGGCAGTATCCTGGTCGGTGGAGTGGAAGGGGTCGTGACGCACCTATTTCTTGGCCACCCAAAAGTCTTAACCCCATGGACTTTTACTTTTAGGGGTTTATGAGAAAGTGCATTCTGTAACAATAGAGGATGAACAACAATTGAGGGTTAGAATAATTGAAGCTGCAACTCAATTTTGTCAGAAAAATTTGATTTTTTAGCGCATTCGGTTTTCCTTATTAAAACGTTAACGAACGTGTATTGAAGAAAATGGGGTTCATTTGGAACATTTATTGTAATATCATATTTATAGAGGTTATAGACATTTTTTATAATTGTTAATTCATTTAAACCATTGATTTATTTGCACGTAATTTTTTAAAGGTTAATGAAAAGGGCCGTTACTTAATAAAAACAGTTTTTTGGAAGAAGTAATAAGAGGCAAAAAAAATTTAAAAATAATGTGTTAAACTAATGATGCCACGAAATTCATTTGATTTAAACGTATTCAAAAGCTTGGGGGAATGTAGGGCTGCACACCCCCCTTAAAATATTTCTGTGCGCTTAGATTTTGTTGTTTTTTTTATGAAAAATGCTTTCAAACCAAGAAAGTAATGTGTCCATTTTTATTATAACATGTCAAGTAGTTTAGAAGATAATGCAAAAAAACAATTTTTATTTTGTAACTTAAGATGTCTGTAACTTTTTTTTGTACACTTTTGGACTAAGGTAAGTTGGAGTCAATCAATTTATTTTTGTCTCCGAAATGCGTGATTTAATTTATGACATACCTTTTTGAAACAGTACTATTTGCGATAGACAACTGTCGTTCTAGAGAAATGCCTTAGGAAATGACCAAAATAGTCACAATATAAAGGCGGTAACTAGTTAGAGTGGTTGTTATCGGAGGTTCAATAATCTTATAAACAAATTTTTGACATAAACAGCTCGAAAATCCTTTGCACCCCTTATTCCGTGGTGGCGAGTATTCAAGGACTCTGTCAATTTCGGAGCGCTGTGAAATTCAGAGAAATTAATTAAATAAACAAATTTGTAGTGAAAATTATTTTTTTAAAACTCTCCATAATATTACTCTTATGTCATTTTTTTTCTAAAATTACCACAAAAAGGTATAAGGCCCGAAAAAAATTTTTAAACATTTTTTAGTATTTTTGTTTAGATATAACTTATTTTTTTTCCATTTTATAATAAAGAGTAAATGAAATAAAGTTCAAGAAAATTTAATTTGCTACAAATGATATTAAATATTATTTTCTCTAGGGTTGCTCGTTTATGAGATACGGCGCGAAAATACTTTGCACGGCTTTTTCCAAGATGGCGGCCCGGCACAAGGGTGATGATCGCAAAACTTAAACTTAAGTTTATATTTACCCTTCCAATACCTTAAAAGATTAAAATTGCGTCCTCTAAGAAATGGCCGTCAAGTCCTAAAAATGTAACATTTCATTATATAAAATGTGCTGTATAAAATCCATCTATTGAAGATGTACGGCACTGTTGTTTTATTTGTATAGGTATATATATCGGTTTTAAAACGTTCTCCTATGTCTTCCGATGCCTAGTCGCCATTCACTTCGATCCATCCAAAGGTCTTCATATAATTCTCTTTCTCTCATACTTCGATTTATGCCTTCTCTCCAACTAAGGCGGGGTCTTCCTCTTTTTCGTCTACCATGAGGGGTCCACGTTAGGATTTGTTTCGGGAGTCGTTCTTCGGACATTCTTTGTACGTGTCCATACCATCTAAGCTGTTTGGTACTAATGTCATCTACTATTGTGTGTTTCACATTCATTATTTCCCTAATTCTGTTGTTAGTTACCCTTTCTAATCTTGATTTTCCTGCTGAGCGCCTCCAGAAATCCATTTCTGTTGCTTCAAGTTTTCTCTTGTATCTTTCTTTTATTTGCCATACTTCACTGCTGTAAGTGATTATACTTTTAACAATTGTATTGTGTATTCTATGTTTGTTGTTGTTTGATATTGCCTGGTCCCACAGTATGCTATTGAGAAGGGTAATTGCTTTTCTTCCCTGGTTGTTTCTTTCTTCTATCGTCCGGTCTACGTTTCCTTCTTGTGTGATGGTCATACCCAGGTATTTATATGCGTCGCAATGTTTAATAATTTCGCCATTCCCCAGTGTAAGGTCCTGCTGTGTCCCACCGCTACACATATATTTGGTCTTTTTTATGTTTATTTCCAAACCACCTTTTTTGTACTCCTCTATTAATTTCCTTGTCATATATTCTATATCATCGTAGTCTTGCGCTAGTACAAGTTGGTCGTCTGCAAATGACAAAGTGTATATTGTATTGTTGTTGATCGGTAATCCCATGTTTTTGCATTTGCGTTTCCAATGTTTTAGTGTTTGTGCTCCAAAGTGTTCCAAAATAATGTCGGTGAAAGGCAGCACGCTTGTTTTAGGCCTTTGCTAATTTGGAATCCTCTCGATAGCCCGCTTCCAACTTTCACCCTTGCTGCAGTTTTGGTATACAATTGTTTCGTCGCTGTTATTAAATTTGCGCTTATATTGGTTTTCTCTAATGCTTCCCATAGTTTGTTTTGTGGGATGCTATCATACGCTTTTCTCAAGTCCACATATAACAGATGCACCTCCTGGTTGACGGCCAGTTTCTTCTCAATAATCTGTGTAATACAAAACAGATGGTCTACCGTTGATCTCCCTGTCCGGAATCCTGTCTGTTCTTCAACTTCTATATCTTTATATTCGTTTTCGATTTTATTTTTAATCAGTTTTCCGTATATTCGGCTGATCGAGTTCGTTACAGCGATGCCTCTGTAGTTGTCACATTAATCCCGTCTGCCTTTTTTATGTATGGTGGATATCCATGATGTCTTCCATTCTTCTGAGATTTCCGCTCCGTTGATGTATCTTTGAAAGAGTTTAGCCAGGTTTTCATATAATTTTGTTGTGCCATATTTTATTAGTTCAGCTGGTATGTTTCCTGGTCCTGGTGCTTTGTTATTTTTTAAAGACTTACATACTTCTTCTACTTCTTTTGTTGTTATTCGTAATGGTGAGGCTAAGATATTTACGTTGCTGGTATCACTGTTATTTAA